ACAAAATGAGTGTAAAGAACAGAAATTGATGTTTTCTTTTGGTGAAGAAAGTAAAAAAGAGAAAAGATTTTAGAAGTTTGAAAAAAACAAAAGGAAGAAAAGAGCATAATAAGAAAGATGGATGTTGCAACCTAGAGAAGAAGAAACGATAAAGACGACGCCGGCACAGGCTCTTCTTTATAAAATTAAGGCTGGGTTTGATAATCTAATTTAGTTGTTAAACTTAGTAGATTTATATTTTAACATGTTCAGATATGTTTGATAAATAAAAATTAACATCTAAATTAATTGAGTGGTACTGAATTTTTTAAACAAAATTTGCTCTAAAAAATAAGTGATGAATTATTCACTTATTATTTAATTTGATATACATTCAAGTATTCCAAATGTATCAGATTTAATATTTAACAACTTAATAAATTTAGATTTCGTATTTCAATTTTTAGATTTCAGTTTTGTCAAAAGCCCTGTAAGACTAAGAAAGAAGCAAATAATTAGACATTGGTTTGCAACTTTCTATCACTCTGTTTCGAACTCTAAAGTTTTTGAACAACTGTAAATGCTTCCATAAATGTCTTTATTTGTTCAAATAATTCTCATAAATTAGTTTTAGGCACCTCAATTTGCATTTAAAGCTTAAAAACATTCAATTATAGTTAGGATTCGAGGATGCTAAAATTTAGGATGTATAAGAATACAAATAGAAAGATAAATGGAATATTTTTATTCATATTAATAATACACTTATACATATTTTTGTGTATGATCTATTTAATTTTTAATTAGTACATTTATGACTCGATTCTTAAATAGACCCAACCTCGATTGCATTCATTGACCCGGACCCGTGAGTTTGGCCGAGTTACTCTCGGAGTTTCAAAACATATTATCTACCCTATCCATTGGCCGTCAAATTCGGAAGGCAAAGTTTTCCACCATTTGCCTCCAGGATGTCCCGCCAGCTTAAGCGCCAAAATTTCTGATTTTCGTTTGAAATTTAACGCACGTCAGCAAGCAACCGTCCACCAATGTTTTAAAAATCGGACCGTTAATCGAACCGGTGAAGTGAAAGGGTCGAGGTTCAACCGGTCGGACCGGTTCAACCTCGGTTCAATGAATTTTTTAAAAAATAATTTATATAAATATATATGTGCACAAAATAAGACATGTAATGGATAATTTAATACTTTATATGATGAAAAGTTTACTATTTTTGAATAACTTGGATTTTTAAAAATAAATTTTTTAAATTATAAGTTAAAACAAATAAATTTCATCTCAATTTCAATTATATCTACCAAAAAAATCTTAAATATAATCCAAAAATATCACAATATTTGAAATTATACAAAATTCACGTCTATGAGAATTTAGACATTGTGAACTTAAATTTTAATTTACATTTTGGAATTTAAATTTACAATTGAAAAAAGGAAATTTGGAGTTCGAAAAAAATCAAGAGAATTGAAAATAGAAATGCAAATTTGATAAGAAACAAAAAATTAGATAAAAGTGAGTGGTTGTGGTATTAAATAAATTGGGTTAAAGAAAAATAATTCTTTTTTAACTTTTTTAAATTTAATGGACAAAAACAAAATTAAAATATGGAAGAAAACATCAATAAATTAAAAATAAAGAGGTTTGATTAAAAAATGAGTGGCAAAAGAAAAGATGATAGAGAGAGTGTGTGTGTGTGTGTGTCGAAGATTAAAAAGAAAGAGTCATGAAAGGATGATATTTTGTGAAAAAAATGGAACAAAAGAAATATGAGTGTTTGTTTTATATAAATAAGTTATCAAAAAAAACTAATAAGATGTGATAGTGCAACGGTTACTACATTGGTCTTCTGTTACAAAGGTCTTGAGTTCGAATCTTGATAACTACATTTTGCAAAAAAAAAAAAAAAAAAAAAAAAGAGGAAAACTCAAAAACCGGAAATAACCGGTTCAAATCCGATTCAGCGGTTTAGCGGTCCGACTGGTTTTTGACCGGTTTCTTGACAAAGTCAAACCTGGCATTGAACCGGACCGGAGCCATGGCCGGTTCGCGGTTCAACCGGTCGAACCGGCCGGTCCGGTCCGGTTTTCAAAACACTGCCGTCCACACTTTTTTTCTGCCCTTATAGTTCCCATAAGAAGTGTTTTTTCCTATGTTTTCAGAATCAGACCGGATATCGATTCGGTCAAACTCAGGGGTCAGGGTCAATGAGTTCAACCGGGTTCGATAGGGGTTGAACCGGATGACGTCATAAATAAAAATTATTTAAAAATTAAAATATTATATGTAAAATACCTAATAACATGTTAATATTAATAAAGGTATATTCATATATATTTGATGTTTTAAATATATTTAACAAGAAAATACAAAGAAATTAGAACAATCAAGTAACAATTTATATTATTTAATGAGCATTAAGAAGTTTAGAATTAAAATTATGGACTTAATTGAAAAATAATACCAAACTTTAAGAAAATATTGATAAAGTATGAAATATTTGAGGTATATTAATAATTTTTAACAATCTAGGGGTCAAAACATAATATTGAAAAAATTTGAAAAAAAAAAAAACTGTTTGCATCGGAAAATCCGATTTTTCCCGATCAAACTCGGGTTCTGACCGGCTTTGACCGGGTTTTTACTTATCCAATTTTTAAACATGACTCGGACCGAACACTTGGCCGGTTCCCAGTTCGATCCGAGTTTTAAAACACAGGTTTTTTCCCATAACTTAACTTACCTTTTAATATTTACTGGCCCTCCGTCTCATTGAAACTGTCATATGTTTCATTTTGCGATGTATCAAAATAATTGTCATATTAAAAAAGTCAAAACACTTTTCTAATATAACTCTTCTTTCTAATTATATGCATATTACTATTTAAATTTAAATTTTGAATTTATAAAGATAAAATTAAAAAAAATATAAACATTACAATGAAATCATCATTTTTTTAAAATTAAATTCTCTCAATATGACTAAATAAATATGAAGAAAATATTACTTTATACTCCCAATTACAGCCTTTTGCCCGTTGCAAATGCCCCCGGACTCTCCCGTCACATCCACAATGATTGACCAGGTGTGCGTTAACGCAGCACACTAATCTCCATTTATTTCAAGTATGTAACAGATCCTAGTGCTACTAATTAAAGACAACAAAATGGTACGGAGCCGTACAGATTTATACTAAAGACTCCAGACAGCAGACAGGACCACAAGTAGAGAACATCAAGTTGTCAAGTTGTCAGGGAACATGGACTTTTGGGTTTTAAACCCAGGTGCAACTTCCCTTCCAATTTTAGCCCCCATCTTTCTCATCATTACATTACGGAAAATGCATTAGGCTTCTCATCACTGTAACATCTGTGGAGGCTATGCTGGTTATCCAAAAGACTCTTGAATATAGCCTGGACAATAAATCTGATGATGTTTTTTGTGGATAATAATAGTAAAACTCATTCTACTTCGTTTCCAATTTAAGATCATCTTCTTCTTGTCCAGCCTCTTGTATCAAACTAAATTCAATTCCTTATTATACTCCAATATACCGGCAACCACACTCCCGAAAATGATTCCGGCTTACGACATTAGCTAGCAGCTTTCTCCCCTATCTTTTATTTCTTGTTTTTGGTTCTAAACCCCTTATTTTGTTAGAAAAGCTATAAACAACATGACACACAACTAGGCTTTAATACCAATGAATTTTGGTGCAAGTGAAAGGAGCTTGAATCCTTTAACCATGAGATTTCGGGTTGAAAATCCATGAGAATGAAAAAAATAATGTTGGGAAAACTACTCCCTACAAAGGGCCTGACTCGGGTTGAACAGGATTAGTCATAAACCATAAAACGAATGCAGATAACTGTAGGTTATGCCTAAAAAAAAAAAACAAACTAGGCTTTAATGTGAATACAAACTAGGCTTTAATGTGAATACATTGTCTTTATGGAAATTGTGCCCCTACTATATTGTTGCCAGGTTAATGGCATTTTTATTCAAGGTTAAGAAAGCCAAAACAAAAATTTCCCTGTGACAATATAAAGAAATTCTCTCTAAAATGATTTCGGAGAGTTTTGTTTTGATTTTTTGAAAGAAGACTGAAAAGTAGTTCAACAATGTCTGATACCTTATATCCGTGACATCGATACATTCTTTAATCAATTAGCATGTATTTAGTAAAAGTACCCTTTAATATATGGTACCTTTTTAATTGATGGGAACTTTTCTTATCCGCAAGCATACTTTTAATTATAGGTACCTTTTAATATTTGACCCCAAAAATTTTGGGATTCTATATCATTTGAGGTAATAAGCACAACATTGGTATACAATTTGCACTCATTGTTTGTATATTATGTACTTTTGCACTACTATTAATGATTGATTTTACCGTGACCACAATCTAGGGTGATTTAAGGCATCGTGCGCTATTTAGTTCTTCATTTGATCTTTGGGTGTTAGTCAAAATTAGAGCCACAGAGTGATGCTGACAGGTTTTTCTTGAAGAACTAGAGTACTTAAACATTAGACAAAATTGGGCCATTACATTGATGAACAAAGAATTGAAAAATGCGCAATAATTGTACTAAAATTTTTTTTTACCAGTGATGGAGTCGAACAAAAATTTTTTTACAAGTGATGGTGTCAAATTATGTTCGTGGTAAGGCTGGTTTGAGGAAGGCATTAGTTGTTGTTTGCTATTCTATAATTTAGAAGTTTTCAACTATAGTAATGTTTTAGTAAACATGAGTCGAGGAACCATTTATTTGTGAATTAATTGTTTAGGGGGGCAAATGGGATTATTACAAACATTAGAGTGGCAAGTAAGATGCAATTTAAAAGGTTTTTAAATTTTCTAAGCTTATCATGTTATTTTTGCCACAGTTGAGGCTGCTGGGGCAATTACGTACTCACCTTCAACCTTCAACTACATGTGGCACACAACATTGGCTTATTTAAGCAGATTTTGCATCAACAAAACCAGTGTGTATTCGACATGGAGAATGGAAATCATGCAAGTCTTGCATGCAAGGCACTTGTGGAGAGCAGTAAATGCATGCAGAATGGAAATCATGCAAGTCTTGTGAAGACACTTGCGAAGAGCATCAAAGATAGGGAGAATGGGAATCACTCCGCGGAAACTAAAGAAAAGCCTGAATCACACCCGATTAATGGTGGAGATGATTCTAAGAGCTATGCTCAAAATTCCAGCTATCAGGTACTATTAATGTCACCATATCACCTACAAAACTTTTTTTTAACTTGCTCCAACTTACTATTCCATCACGTGCCATTCAATTGACATTGTGCATGTGAATTTTTGTGTCATACTTCTTGTAGAAAGGGGTGATTGAAGCTGCAAAACGTGAAATTGTACAAGCAATTAAGGAGAAGCTAGACATCGAAAAAGTCTGGCCAAGAAGATTTGTGATTGCTGATTTTGGCTGTTCCACTGGACCCAATACATTCCTTGCAATGCAGAACATTGTTGAAGCAGTGGAGCTAAAGAACAAATCTCTGCAACAGAGTCCAACCATCGACTTCCATGTTTTCTTCAATGATCTTGTAGACAATGATTTCAATACTCTCTTCAAATCCCTCCCTTCACACCCAAGATATTTTGTTGCTGCTGTACCTGGCTCCTTCTACGAGCGTCTATTCCCTAAAGCTAGCCTTGATTTGGCTAATTCTTCTTATGCACTCCATTGGCTTTCCAAGGTTCCAAAAGAAGTTGGAGACCAGAACTCAGTGGCATGGAACAAAAGCAAGACATATTGTTCGGGCTCCAAAAAAGAAGTCACGGAGGCATATTTTGCTCAGTTCAGGAAAGATCTCAACAGGTTTCTGGATGCCAGAGCAGAAGAACTTGTCGGAGGCGGCCTTTTGGTGATTCAATTACCCGGCGTTCCGCGCGGCGCCCTTCCCTTTAATACTGGTGCAGGCTTCATCCAAGAGCTGTTAGGACCATGTCTTTTTGAGATGGCCGACTTGCTATTATCTGACAATTTACATCTTTTACTTTCTTCATTTTGAATAGTTTAATCAATAATCCAGTTTACTAATTTGATCTGTAATGCAAGTATTGGGGTGACACTCATCAGTTCAAATGATTTCTTCTGACTTTGAGCCCGCTCATTCGTGGATGCTGCAGGGATTTATCAGTCATGAAAAAGTGCATTCATTCAACTCGCCAATGTACTTTCCATCAATTGAAGAATTGGACCTGGCTATAAAAGGGAATGGCCATTTTACGGCAGAAAGAATAAAGATATTGAATCACCCAATGCAGCACTTGCCATTTGATGCAAAAATGACTTGCTTGCAGACCAGATCCATCTTTGAGGGCTTCATCAAAGACCATTTCGAAATAGACATTGTGGATCAGCTTTTCGATCTATTTGCTAAGAAACTTGAAGAGAGCTGCTCAATTTTTTATCAGGAAATTCGCAAAGATGTTGACCTGTTTGTTCTGCTAAAACGCGTCTGTTGAAGGATTGTTGTTTTGGTCAATTTACTATCTGAACTGATTGAAGATGCACTTATTTTTTTCTCATAAAGTAGCACTAAAGCTATTGTGGCATTTCTTTTTCCTCTATGGTTGATTGTCTACATATTTAATAATATTCACGAGATTCACCTCATGCCTAGAGCTGAGATTTTCTCAATTCTTACTTTTTTTGCTGAATTCAGGTTCTCATTCTACTTGGCCATTATGCTTTGACATGAGAAGAATTAGAATATTAAGATTTCAAAATGATTAGCTTCCACAAGAGTGTTGGACCTGTTTCAAATTAATTTAAGATGACATTTTAAATTAATTAAACACAAATAGGTAGACTAAGTTCAGTGCCAAATTCCATTCAAGATTTCGATTTAATGATACATGTCACCTAGTAAATAGTCGAGATTGGCATCTGATTTCTTGAATATTATGAGGGCACGTTGATAATGAGGTCAATGCACGAATAGTAATCAAAAAAGATAACGTGGTTTTGAATATGTGGGAGCTGAGTAACGTAGTTTCTCGAAAGCCATATTTCTGAGCCACCTCAAATACTAAAGCCTCAAAAACAAGGGGCTAATCTAGTCTTAGAGAAATCGAAGGATAAAAGAAGGCATGAAAAATGGCCCTTCATAGAAAGAAATAGCGTAGAGGAAAAAACAAAAAGGAGAAAGGACGTTATTATAGCTTTGGAAATGGTGTTTATTTAATTTTGTTGGAATCCATATCAAAGACTAATTTTAAAAATTTAATGATAGGGACTAAAATGAAATTTCATAAAAGTTTGAAGGTATTGTAATCTAATTAAACATGTTTCATGTGAGCTAACTTTTCCAATTCACCTTACTTGAACCAATTTCACGTTTACTAAATTTCTGAGAACTTCCAATTTATCCCAACATAGGACAATTTAATCAAGTAGTATTAGATCTCCATCCAAATTTAGATAGATTATTACCCATGACATTTAATTAAATCATAAACCAAATTATTAAGATGAAGGATTACCTTAGCCAGTACCCAATGTACAGTTGTTAAGATAGGTTTCAAGTATTTTTTTTTAAATTGAAGTTAGATTAGGAAAATGTCTAAATGTAAGAACTGAAGACAGCCCAATGACAATCCGGTATATTAACAAGAGCAACATACTGCTACTCCTATTCTATGAGGAAGGCTAACGAGACTTGTATGAAGGTTGGAAGTGAACCACCAAATCAAACAAGTATTTTTTTTGTCTACAGCGATAACTATCTATGAAAAAGCCCAAAGAGGCTTGTATGACGGTTGGAAGTCAACCAATTTGTGGGAAAATGTAAAGAGACTTGTATGACGATTGGAAATGAATCACTAGATAGCTTAGACAAGTGCAGTATTACACTCTCTAAACTTTTTTTAAGAACAATACATTTCTTGTGTGATGTATTAAATGGAATTTGAACCCTCAAGCAAGTGCATGGAAGAGCCTTGAAAGGATTCACCTGGCCATTGAACAAGCCCAATGGTTTCAGTGAAAGTTCGATAAAATAGATCAGATTCTCACCATAATTTTAAAATCCTTCTTACATTTATTCAACTCTATTCCCTTATCCACGTGAACTTGAGCACATGCCATGGCGGCTATTTTCACCATACTTTTAAAATCCTTCTTATATTTATTCAACTCTGTTCCCTTATTCACATGAAAATGAGCACCTGCCGTGGCTGCTGTTTAGTTGCTTGTTTTGGGGATATCACACAGTTGCTTGAAGCTAAACCATCTTGGACCTAACGCTTCAAACTTAATAACTTTCAGACCTAACTCACTAGTTCAAAATATTTAAACTAAATTGTTAGCAGCCTATAGCCTAGGAAATATGTACCTATGACTTTTTTTTTTTTTGGAGTACCTATGACATTCAATTCTCACTTTTGGTGTGGATTGAAGTTGGGAGGTATTTTCCTTAAAAAAAAAATGTTGGGAGGTATTTATTATATTCAACCTCCTTTAGGGCCTTTGCATCCTCATAGAATTTCGAGGGCGATTCAAATTGTTGACTTAATTATACAAAACTCTGAAAGCGATTGATGTGTGTTTTAAAAGTTGCTTTCTTCCTGAGATCGACGTAATATTTATAATTATTGCCACAACTTGCCTAGGGTCTTCTTTTTTGAGAAGGAACACTTGCCTAGGGTCTAACAGTCCCTTCTGCAGTCACAACTTCAACATCTCTCTGCTTCAGATCTCGAGTTGGTCAGGTCAGATAACTTTTTAGGCCATAAAAAAAATCAATTACGATTATGATTTTAATATCCAGAAGACAAATTTAGAGTTGCGTAGACGATACCATGTGCCAGGTAGGTTTTTGGCAGTCAAAAACATGTAATTGTATAAACAAATATTTGCGGCTTGTGGAACGGACCTTGAAAAATATATTCAAGGTGGGCGAACTTGTCTTATTGAGCATTTGTCTTATACATGTAACTGTATAAATAAAGATTCGCGGTTTAACGAACATAAGTTGATTCAGTTGATAAAGATGAATCACTTTCTCATAAAAGATAGAGTATTCGAATCCCGTTGTTGATATGACGGCTCGTAGAATGGATCTTAAAAAATATATTCAAGGTCGGTGAACTTGTCTTATTTAGCATTTGTCTTGAGTTGGGAATTTTGGATCAGTTTCTAAATTCAAAACATACCTTATTGCCTATCTGTAGAGTGCATACCGCAATAAATGAATCACCATCTTGAATACAGAGTAAGAATATACATTTCGAGAGGTGTGCATAAGGACCATGAGCCAGGTCCAGGTGAGCCCATAACGTAATAGTATTCAAAACTTCTACAGGGAGTGATTTGTGGCTTGTACAACGGAACTTGAAAATCGCATCGAAGGTCATGGAGGCTTTTAAATAATAAGGGATAATTTTAGAAACCTCCCTGAGGTTTTTGACAATTTTATTGAACTCTCCTAAGATTTGAAAAATTACACCTACCTTCCTTGATTTGATAGCTTTAGTAACAAAATCTTAAAATAATATTGACTTGATCAAAATTTTAAATTATACAAAAAAAATTGTTCTTGTATAATGAGTTTTAAGTTACTTCTCTATACAATTATACGATTAGCTAGTATAATTATAAGAAAAAAGAGTCAAATTTTTCATGCTCATACCTATTATTTGATAAACAACTCCCTTGTATAATGAGTTTTAAGTTACTTTCCTATACAATTATAAGATTACCTAGTATGATTATAAGAAAAAGGAGCCAAAATTTTCATATCCATACCTATTATTTGATAAACAACTATAAAAATAATTTTATCATTATGATAGGATACTTTTGATGGTATTTTATTATTTGATAAAGTTAACTCATAAAAAATCAATAGTTTGAAATTTGGTTACAATAGAAACTAGCGGTAATAGTGGTCATTTTATAATTTTATTGGCAAAAAAAAAGGAATAAGAAGGAAAAAGAATAAAAAAAGAATTTCATTAAAATATAAGCATACAAAACAAGAATTTCATTGAATTATTTAAGGGCAGTATTATCATTTCAAATTATAAGGAAGGTATGTGTAATTTTTAAAATTTCGAGAGAGCTGAATGAAATTGTTAAAAATCTCAAGGGAGGTTTTTGAAATTATCCCTAATAATAATAATAGCCATCGGGTAGGCGAACTTTGTCTTCCCAGCTTTCCATAATAAGCCTTTTGTTTTTTTGAGTGGACTTTCCATAATTTGCCGAAACAAGGAATGCAAACATCAATGTACAAGGAAGCTCTTTTATTCTCGCTAGTTTGCCAGAGCATACGTTGCACGTCGGGTGGTAACTTATTCACGAATTTAAGTAAAATGATTAACTAAAAAATACTAATTGTGTTGTAATGGAATTTTTTTTAGATGGAATAGAGTTTGAAATAAAATAGTTCAATTGTAAAAAGTCTCAATGATTAGAATGATGAAGCTACCTATTACTATACCATCAGAAGGGATATGAAATTTATTTTTGGGGAAAAAGACCTACTACTTGTTTTTTTTTTTTTTTCATTCGTCACTTATTTATCATACTCCTAACCTAATGTTGAGGGAAGGTCCTGTGAGGGCCCGTAAAATTCCCTTAGTTTATATCTTTTAATTTTATTTTTCGCATGCATTTTCTTTATTTTACTTTACTGTATTAATTTTTCAAAGATTTTTATAAGTAAGTATAGTTTTTAAATCATTTTTCTAAAATAAATTAGTTCATGTTAAGTTTGAAGTGTATTGTGAACGTGGGACCCGCTAGTGCGGTTAGTGCGATAAATTTTTGACAACTCGTTGAAATTTCGTATTAAGGAATATTATTATACAAGGTGCTAGGAGATAATTAGAAGTTAGCTAGATAGATTAACCATTGGAAGATAAGAGGATAGGATTGAACCTTAAAGGAGCCAAGTGTCACTACACTATTGGAAGATGGACTTTGACTAATTTTCTTCACCTTTACTAAACCTCAAAAATTGACCAAATTCCTTCCATTCTTGAGCTTCTCTTGGCCGAGCTTCATAAGGGAGAAAAGAGAGAAAAGATTTCATCGTGCACTCCAATTTCTTACTCCAATCTTGTGTTTCAACCATCAAAAGTGCAAATTACTCCATACAAAGTGCTAGCTAGAGAGGATTAGAGGTGTTGGTGGAGTGTTTTTTGAGAGGAAAGTGTTAAGCTACCATCTTTCTAGTGTTTCTAAGGTAACTTGCCAAGGAATCCCTCTTTACTTCTAATAATTGCATATTAGTGGTTTAAGGTTATTGAATATGTAGTTTTGTGGGAAACATGATGGCTTGAAGTGGTCTTATGGAAATTTTCAGTTTTATTGGTGAATATTCTGCCCTCATATGAAGCTTAATGATTAGCCATGGTTTGCTAGCTTTGTTATGTGATATATTAGTGTATTATGTGCTAGATGGACTTGCTTAAAGAAATTTCTAGCCTTAGCTCCAAATTTCTAGCTTTAAGGATGA